TGTTTCCATTTTAGGACGTTCACCCGAGGATGACCTCTGATGTCCCCAGTGACCACGCGCTATTGTTTGCTGGAGTGTGCCTGCGCGTGGTCAATGCATATATCAGCGGTTAAGAGGGTGAGTGGGTGTCTGTGTGAGCATGTACATAAAGCAGTCCCACACTTACGACGAAATCCTATCTGGCACATACCAGTAACTGTGTCGAATGAAGGCACATCCCATCTCGACAGAGCTGGCCCAAGATTAAGAAACCACCACTGACTCTTCCCCATTGATTTTTTACTTTAGCTGACCTGACTTTCCTCTCATGATAGTCTGAGTATGAGTGTAAGTGGTATCAATGTCCTGTGCAGAGAGGCAGGCAGCAACCAAAAAAAAAAAAAAGAAACAAAAAAGAAACAACTTACACATGCTTAGAGTGATTTCACGTGAAGTGCTTTTCCACCAAAACATGCACACTTTGCTGAACTCTCCGTTGCTCATTCAGTCGTGTTTGAGCCTTAGACTGAAAATAGGCAACGCAACCCAGACCTATAAATAACTGTCTGAGTGTCACACATTCTAAGAGCCATTTGACAGATTTGTTTTTAGGCCATTAATCTAAAAACAGCCAATAACTGATCAAACTTCGTACGGGTGACATCACAGATTTCAGCTTTCTGGAGGAGAGACGCCTCAAAGCACATATCAAAACAAGCTCTCCTATCCCTGCTGATTTCTTCTTCACTTCCAAAATACATTTTTATAGCCTTGAATGCAGGTTTAAGTACAAATTAAGACAAGGATGTTTTAAATACCACTTTGGCTATAAATTCTGGAAAAAGTATATTTATGTTTAAAACCCTTAGACAATAAGATATCAGGTCTTTGGGGATACATGGCATCCTCTGATCACAAATCTGAGCATCAAACTGCTCTGCTGCTCTGTGGAAATTGATAGCATGCTTCCCAAACGGGAGTTGAAAGAAGCCTTGGTAGAAAAGCTGTGAGGCGATCAGTATCTGTTTTTAAAGAAGAGTATCAAAATCCTCATCTGACGGCAGATGGATCCTGCTAGCTCGTTTACCCATCGGGCTGCATCTGTGTGTGAGGTGTGGAGACACAAAGGGTTAACACCTCACTGCCTGCTACCATCTAGAGCCTCCTCCAGTCCCCGAGTCCTGAATACGCTAACCTACACAACCAAAAGGCATACAAATTAAGGACGCATGACTAGATTGCACCCTGCTAATTGACTCATCTCTTGAAATGAACCCAGAAGAGATGCTGCCTCACCAAACTGACTCAGTGATCCCAACATTTGTTGCACTTCACCAGATGTCAAAGGTGCAAACTAATGACTTTAGCAGGTAGACTGCCAAAAGATTTCAGAACAAATCGGTTGCGTTATTTATTTAATATAAAGTTGAACGTTTCCAGAATCAACTTCATCATGTTTTTGCTGTATGGAAGTGATACTATTTAAACACCAGCCTGCTGCATGAAAAATATCTTAAAATCACTAAACATGTGTCCTCGTGAATCAATAAATTGTTGCATTATCTGGGGTCATCAGAATACATAGCCTGGAGGTAAATTGTGTGACGATATTGTGTTAGCTGAGACTGAAGGGTTGTGTTTTACTGGATGTCTGAGAACGATACTGATAGGCTTGTCATTTAAGAATTAAAAGGACACAGCTCTAACACCAGAATTCTGTAATAATAAGGTCACATACATTTTTATTTTACAATAAGACTTTGAATTAGTTAGAAGAATTGCTGTCTTCAGAAATAGTTTTCAATGCCCTCTGGTGGAGAAACTAACGCAGACTGTGTTTTTGAAGTGGTTTAAAAGCAGATGTATCTTGGATTTTTCATTGCTTTGCTGGGAAGATGGGAATCAACATACATGCTATTGCTCTTATGTATGAGGTCATTTTAAATGTGCTCACAGCTGAGCCATGCAAATCAATCATGGCTGCTGGCATCTGGTCATGCAATCCTGAAAAAGTTGTCTTATTTATTCTTTTCAATGTTGAGTGAAACATACAGAAAAACAGGAGGACGGACAGATACAAATTATCATTGATTTATCAGGTATCTTAATGGGCCTAATGCAAATGTCAAGGTCCTTGTAAATAAAACATTCTAAAACAACTTTTTTGGGACATGTGGTGTTATTAGTATGTCAGTGTAAGTCAATACGATTTTTAAAATGCAAGTTTAATAGAAGCTTTAATATGTAATTAAGGCCAAATTTGTTCCTTTACTGAGACTATTTGTAAAACGTAGGATGAATGGATCCAGCACTGTTAAAATAGAATAGCAGTAAGTTTTCGGCTGGGCCTAAATACATGTAATAAAACATGTAAACAAGCCTGATTTAAATGCTAAATTATTCCTTTGTTGTTTTTTTCCCTACAAACTTTAATAACTTATAGGAGCTTCACAACACCTCCATGGAAGAGAATTTATGCGCATTTTTCACTTTTGATCATCAACAATCAGTGAAATTAGTTTGACATATAAAAAATCTATACAAAACTGCAGGAATACAAACTTATGATAAGGATTATCTGTTTTATCTTTTAAGCACTAAATTATGATTTGATGGATTCAATATTTATGTATTAATCCATTATAGACTATTATAGTTATCTGTGGCCCGCTTTATTCTAAATCTGTCAGCTCTATGTTTTGCTATCTATTAAGACATCTTAATGCACCGTGTGAAGATAAGCACGGGTGGGGGGGGGAGATAAACAACAGAGAGGTGCACAGGGACGTGAAAACACCGTGTACCTGCGTGGAACCCGGGCTGGCCTTGACTCTGGTGCTGAGCTCGTCGTGTGTGATCTGGCTGTGGTTGTGTCTGCTGAAGAGCAGGCGGAGAGGCACCGTGTCCTCCTTCCCGACGAACCTGCCCGCGTCTCGAAGAGCTTTCCAGCTCGGTGAGGCGTCTCCTGCACACAGAGAAAACGCCGCTTTCATAACGCGCTGGCGCCTGTGCGCGGAGACCAGCGCCGAAGGAGATCCATGCAGTTCAAACACTGCCATCTGAAATGTCGATCGGTTCCATTTGCTTTGATAACATGGAACACCTTTAGGCTGGCTGCACATCTTAGATACAGCAACGCAGGGTCATTCAAAGTAAATAAACATTGGTACATTGAGAAGGATCTAAAGCTGAATCGCAGCTAAAAAAAAATATATATATATATATTTGCGTGATATTTCAAACAGCATCAGTTACCGTTCTGGGCATCGGAGCTGCTCTGGTGACCGACGTGCATCAATGCATAGACGCACAAAAGGGAAATCCACCATCGCGGACGCATCGCCAGCACCATCACCTTTTCTCTTTCTGGTTGGAAATTAAGAAACAATGCGGTATTCCAAGAGGAGGCGGTCGAGGTCCCACATTCGCTAGAGGAGTATAAAGCCGCGGCCGGTCGTCTGGTTAGCGCAGTCCCGCTGGTGGGGGGCCATGGGGGTGCTGACGGGTCTGACGCCGAGCGCGTCTGAGCGCACCGAGAGCCCGCGGATCAGAGAGGGACGGGGGAGAGAAAGAGAGACGGGGAGGGAGGAGTGGGGACACCTCCTTAAAACACATCAATGTCCAGCGGCTCACTGCAGAAACGCCTAGTGCATAAATATGAGCGGAGGGGCGGATGGAGAAAAACACCGGGCCTGGCCTTCCACAGGCTGGACCGACAGAGATGCTCACCTACATCTAAATGACTGCGGGAGCGCCATTCCTGCACAGTTCTTCCCGTTATCATTATGACTCACTCCATCATGTTCCAGGGCTCAGAAAAAGCCCCCACCCCCAGCGTCAGCGAAATAAGACAATAAGATGAGACGAACAACGTGACGAATTGTTTCCTGGGGTAATTGTTTTCACGTATTTAAAGCTGCAGGCCAACGTCTGCTTTATCTTTTTCAGGGATGTCTCTTGTTCATGTTCATGTGTTTTCCATATGAAGTTACTTTATACCGTTATCTTTAATGTTTCTTTATTTGTAACATAGATTAAAGGGGAATTGCCCCAGAGATCACAATCTTTCATAAATCATGATCAGCCCTGTTGAAATAGGAGAACACTGGCCCCTCCGTCATGTTTAACAGAAGGAACATCTCTGATTTACCATTTTATGTCAAGCTCAAATATGTATTATGCTGCATATGCTTTGTTTATCATGATATATGTATATTCAAAGTTTTGATTATTCAATTCTAAATCAAGAGGTAATTAAGAAGGAATATTATGTGCTGCCTCCAGATGGCTTTAGTCTATCTCAGTCAACCTGCTCTGAAACTCAAATTAAGTTTGTGTGCTGTCAACATCTCACAGTAAATATTGACAATGCTTTTGAATTTGACAAGTAGGTTACCTCAGCCAGTCCAGTTCCTTCCTGTTCAATTCAGCACAAACATGTTAAAAATTGTCATTTTCTCATCACAATGTGAAGCTGCTCTGCCACCTTTCGGCTCCTTGCGATTGTCTGGATTTGACTTTAAACCCTGTTGACCAGTGTACCCTCTCAGGCTGGCACTCTCTGATTGAGGCACCCTCTCCAAGCAGGCGTTTCCAAGCATCCTGCCTCTCTGCTAATAGTGTTCAGCAACAACAGCTTAAGGTGTTGACCCAGCTTTAAAACTCCCCAGATCCCAAACCAATCACACCACCGCGGTGTGTGCTGGAACAAGCCTGATCGCTGCAACTTGAAGCATTTAAAAGAGCCCCTGCCAACTTGTTGTGGCACGATAAAAACAGAACATCCCCATGAAATCCCACATCTCCACCCAGACGGATTGCAGCTGTTCGATCAGCATTAGGGGGAAGAAAAACAACATAATTCCAGCAGTTTTAGTGTCCAGTTGGTGCCTGATTTTAGTATTCAGGAGGCTTCCTCTTAATAGCAGTGGAGCACACCGGTTTTTCTAAGTCTGAACCACCATTTCAGGGCAACAAGGTCACTAGTGAAGGGAAAAATGTCTGTACAGCATGTTCTCTACTTGTCTGTGTTGCTTTGCTTGCGTGCATTAAGAAACTTTATTAAAAACATTTATTTTGATTTGAACACATCCAGTGATTAATGTGCGTACACTTTTGATGAGATCAGTTGGCCTTGTGCTGACATTTTTGCACTCAGCAAGGGAGATACATTTTTATTTATTCAGCAAATGGAGATTAAATTAGTGATTTGGTTAAAAAATAAATTGAAGTAGATTAGAAGAAACAAATGTTTAATGAGTCTTGAAGCCTGTTGTAATGGCTTGCAGCATTTAAAACCCTGATTGCTACAGTAAACAGTACAAATGGATAGAAAAAGTGCATTATAGTGAAAAGGTTCAGTTATCTTAATTGTAATATTTGGTTCTGCTTGCATTCTGAATAATCAACAATTCAGCAGAGCTTAATTTGCTTTATTGCTGTGACTGTTCCTCATAACAAACGGCTGTTCATTTTTTCCACGTCTATGGCAGACGGTCCCACGTGACCCCAAAAATCCATTAGAGTGGTGAGCAGGGGAACAAGGGTACTGTTCTTATGCACTAAATGAAGGAAAGAGCTGAGCTAATGCATCAGAAAACAAAACTCAAGTGCAGGTCATAAAAAGCGCACTTAGAGGGATTCATAAAATGCCACTTTAAGGTTAAATACCACAGATCCAACCTGCGGGTCATCTCTTCCTCCAGCACTCAGTGTTTCATAGATTTTCTGTTGTGGTAAGATGCAGCTCTTCTGTAAAAGTGAATGCTGGTTTTTGAAATACTGATGCATTCACTTATCAGACTTAGACCTTACAAATTCATCTTATCCAAAAAGGATCAGTTATGTCAAATCCCAGCAGATGAGGTGCAGAACTTCCCTGTGGCATTAATACTGAAAGAAATGCTTCAATCCTACAACAGAATGAGACGTTACACATTCATCAGATTTCTCCATTTTAAGAAATTCTCTTTTGATTCAAGTTTTGTTTGTCATCAATACATTTGTTGCAAAACTACAAAATATATTTGTTGTATCTGTATCTAGAAAACAATAATTAAATGTAAAAAATTATTATTTTAATAGCCTCTGCAACATAAATGCTGATATCCAATATTTAATCTTCAAGTCTTATCTTGCACTGTGCCACAAAAAAAAAGAAAGCACAGCAGCAGCTGCCATACATCTGCTGACACTCTTTATTCCATTAGAAACAAAAAGATGGCGTTTTTTCACCATTTTTAACCCACACAGACCCAAAGCTGCACATGTGTGTGTTTATCTGTCTCTCGGATTTCATCATGTTCACACAGACCCCGCATGAAGGCTTAACCTCTTTAAGGTTTTTCTTTTTCATATTCACCGGTTTTAAAGTTAAGAAATAAATATTTTAGAAGGCAGTTTTTTCAAACGCTTCTTAGATTATTAAAGCTCAATATTACATATTAAAGACATATTGCAAAAGTACCCTCTGGTCTGAATGGGTTAAACATGTTATAAAACAAAATTTGTTATTTTAGTTTATGGCTCAGAAAGTCCAGTTTGTCCCAATGTTTTGACCTACGCTGAAAATCCACAAAACTCCATGTCCACGTCGTCACTGGACTGGAAAAGCTCCCAGAGCTTTAGTATCGAGCTGTCTGGAACATCTCTCGGCTTTATGTGCACTTCCGTTGGCTCCATTTTCCGTCTTTTTTGCTTATAAACTCTTATTCTCCTCTGAATTGTCCTAACCGGAGAGAAGCCTTGCATTGGAGGGCTTACTTTATCCTTCTCAGCGAGATCATCTCCAGTCACTTTCTCTGAGAACACACTCCTCTCCTGGAAAGCTTCAAACTCTAACGCATCCTGGTTGATGTCCCCATGTTCGTTAGTGATAACACTGGTGTCTCTGGCGCCGTCCTTAATGCACGTGTTTGTACTCACAGAGTGAGAGGCTGAGCTGCCAGTGTCTTTTCCAGGTTTCTGCTCTGCCAGTTTGAAAGTGGGGGGGGGTGAGTGAGACGAGGGCGGAAATCCACCTCTAGAGGGTGGCACTTCTGACTTCACCCGAGGAATCTGAGCCTGCTCAGCAGTCTGGGAGCGAGAAGTCAAAGAATTCTGTCTGCAAGTCCGTTTACGCACCAGAGATCTGTGCTTGGATCTGTCAGGGTAAGTATGAAAGGTCCTCCTGTCTTCTTTTGTTTGAACCAACGGATCAGAGCCTGAAGCTGAGCCGATATTGTTATATGTGATATTCTGTCCTGAATAAAATCCATGAGCAGTAAGGTGTCGCTCTGCTTTAACCGAGTGACCACAATCTTCTTCGTGCCTCAGGTCAGTGATCTCACAGGGGCCGGGAGCGACGAGGACCGAGGAGACACTGCACTTTGGCCTACATTTTTGTAAAGGAAAGAAAAGAAAATAATCTGAAATTAAATGAAGATAGACTGTAAAGTTGATCATGTCAGCTCCATCACTACTGATGTGTGTGAAGTGAATGTGTAAAGAATGTGTCAAATGAATTACCTATGGACTTTAGTTTGGATGTTGATGAAGTCGCAGTGCAGAGTTGAGACCAGTCTGTCCACCACAGCGTACTCATCCGTTTTGGAGAAAGCCTTGTGACGTTCACTCTGTAGATGCTAGGCAAAAATGGCTCTGTTAAAATATTTATTTTTACAGCTGTGTGAGAGCCAGAGAGAGCTCACAAAAAAAAAAAAACAGTTTTTAGTACTATGATGGAACAGTGAAGCACAGGCATCAACAATGAGGATTCCTCCTGTGATCAGATACTGACAACACACATTTCATCCAATTGTGTGGGAGAACATTTACCACCACCCCCACCCAAATTGTATATTTTTCTTACATTGTGTGTATCTTATCAGTTTATTCTTAAACAAACAGTACAGAGTTAAATAAAAGTGAAACTACAATATGTTAATACAAATGTTTTGAACATTTAAAATGAGCCGTTGATTTTTACTGGCAGTCAAACTAACCAGACTGAAAATGAACGCAAAGAAAGTATGTTTGAACACGACAGAACAAGAATCTGCATCAGAACTGTAGATTAAGGCTATTCAGGCCAGCCAGTCACAAACCGTCCCAGCACTAAAGCACCCCATTTAGAGGCAAAGAAAGATGTGGCAACAGAAAGTAACAAACTTGGAACTGCCATGTTGTATTAAAATTCCCTGTGATTCCACGTTTAATGTTGTGTCATAGCTCCCAAGTGTGAGCAATAAAAAGAAAAAAAAAAAGAAAAAAAAACTTTCTAAGGCTAAAAACGATTTTTTTTAAAAGCATTTGGGGGCCTTCACAAATTTCTGCCACATTTTGTAACAATGATTCAACTTTTGACAGTGTGAAGACTTACCATTTTCAGCTTTTCATACTTGACCATGCAACACTCGCAGTAACCGCCTTGCTTCTGTTTTTTGTCCCTGTTCTTCTTTCGACCATGAGCTCTTTCCTCAGAGGTGGGCAGTTTCCCACCTCTGTTCGAAGAGAGTGAAGAAGGAAATCTCATTAACTATGACTTGATCCATTTTGTTTGCTTCCAATGCATCTGAGCTGGCATACATCTAACTTGGCCAGCAACAAGTTAACAGAGATCCATTTAATACACAGGAGACTCATTTTACAGTTCAGAAACTAGAACAAAAGCAGAGATTGAACACAGCACCTGTGTACCAGCTGTTTGTTCCCAGGAGGATCTTTGTCCTCTGCACAGAAGGGGCTGCACGGTGCAACAGAGTGCAGGTTGAACTCCGGCATGTTTGGCATTGTGACGTAGATGGGACGGTAGTGCCTGAAGAGGGAAACAGTTTGCATGAAAACACTGTCCACACGGTGCAAGGATCTCTGCTTCTGTTCACTATTTCTTACCTGGTTGAATCCTCAACCTTGACAAAATGTTTACTGATCCTTCCTCCTGTAACAAATAACATTTGTTCATGAATTTGTTCATGAAAATTTAGACCATGTGTTTGCGACCATGTGCTTGTTACCTTTACACTTCTGAAAACCTTTTTTTGTTACTGACACAGCTTTGACCTGGAAAAAAAAGGAAAAAGAGCTGAGTTAAACAATAGCACACACATCACTTCAAGACGATAATCCCAAAAACAGGGTTACACTTTTCATTTAGTTGAAATGCTTAATTATTAAACTCACACTGGAGGCAGCAGCAGTGGCTGAAACCTGGCTGATGCAAGTGTTTTTCTTCCTCTGAACATATGCTAATACATCTGAAAATAGTGACAGTGAAGAATTAAGTAGTGCTTCATACACAGCACAAATAAGTTAGATAAAAATGTATGATGCAACCTACCATTTAAATAGAGGATTTTTACACCCCACTCCACGGCATTTGACAGGATCCTGTCCATCTGAATCCTCCCCTAAAAACGCACAAGGGGGTTTTAGCACAAAAACCTAAAGCACTTAAAATTTTCAGAGCAAATATTATTAGTGCTGATCCAACAAACCTGCTCTTTAACAACTCTTTCCACCAACGACCTCCCTCGGCTCGAGACAAACTGTAACCCAGCAAAAGAAAACAAGCAGCATAACTAACCAAACAACCAGAAAAAAAGGAGAAAAGAAAGAAACCATTTTGGCTTAAAATGTCTTTCCCTTTTTGCTTACCGTGTCTCCTTGGCCCCGAGATTTGCTTTTGATGTTGTCCCTGTGGTTGCCAGCATGGTGTGGGTTAGAGCGAGGGTGGGGTGAGCTCGGCCCTGAGTCCGGGCTGGGAGCGGGAGAGTCCTGTCTGAGGTAGTTCGCATACCTTGCCTCCTGCTTGTTAGACACTAGATACTTGATTTCCTTACTGAAGAACTTCTCAACAGTCTAAATGACAGAACAGATAAAGATGGGAGCTGTAAATCTGTCTTCTTTTTTTTTCTAAAATGTATGATCAGATTTATAATCTTTTAAAACAATAAAACATTTAGCAAAAACGCATCTGACAAAGATTGCAATGGTACTCTAGGACTAACTGGGATCTACAAAAATATAATACATAATTTTAGATATCCCTGGAGATGAAAGTCACTCTCTGGTGTTCATTAGTTATCATTTTGTACTTCTGCAGTTAAGCTCGCTTTTTTAATCGGAGTACGGTAAATTACAATCCTTGTGGTCAATTGTGTTGTCTTTTCTCCTATTCTACATTTAAATCTCATCTAAAACAAAGATTCTGATTTAAAAACACTTCAAAATAACCTGTGGAGGTAATCAAATGTGTTCCATCTTACCCCACCCAGGTCCTTGATGTCACTCTCCAATGTTTCGGCTGTTCTGTTCGAAGGCAGGTCCAGGAAGAAGACTTTTCCAGCAAAAGGTCCGACTTTCCTGGCAATAGGTCTGACTTGAGCTGAGGACGACACCAGTGATGGTCGTTTGTTCTGGCTTGCAGTTGTCTTCTCATCTGTGGTTACACTTTCCCCTTAAAAGAGAATCATCACAGTTACGGTATTAAAAAAAAACCCTGATTAGTTTATTAGTACAACAATAAGACAATTATGCCCAAGGGAAAACAAAATCATTAAACAGCTATGATGTAACGTATAGGGGAAAACATTTAGGAATTATTACTTATTATGTCATAGGCTCCAACTGTTGTTATAATACCCTGACAATAAAGAGTTTCTACTCCAGTGAGACAACAGGAGAAAAGTTGTATTGAAATATGCTCAGAGGTTTGTTGCAAAACAACTCTGGCTCATACAGAAATGAGAGAAAAAGAAAGCTGCCAGGATATAAGTGTTATAAAGTTATAGTTTCAACACAAAAGAAGGCTTTTGAAAATTAACAGTTTTTTGTCTGCTGCTCTAAGATATAAAATACAAGATATCAGTCCACACTTTTTATCATTAAAGTAATATTTTTTAAAAAAACTCCTGCACATAAACTGCGTCTTGCATAGCATCCTATCTGTAAAAACCACACCACAGATGGTTTCAGTTCAAGCTTACTCCCATTATATTAAAACCTTAAAAATGTGCAAATACTGTCTCAGGAAAACACAAAGCTTTGGGTGAAACTGGTGTCGGTACCTTGCCAGCTGGCTCTCGAAAGCTTCTGAGTGCGTCTCGGTTTCATTTTCATCTCTTTAGATAAGTGTTCCTGTCTCTTCTTGCGTACTCCATAAAGTCGTCGTCAGCTCCTTGTTTATAAACACAAAAATACTTATTTACAAACGGGCGAAAAAAGCAACGACAAAAACTGAACTTATTGTTGTAACGAAGGCTGCCAGATTAATCCCTTTGACTTGTCTTTAAGCAAACTTGTGCTTTGTTTCCTTCCCTACGCGGATACTGCCCTGCTGGTTATCCTCCTGTATTTACCTTTTTTCTGCAGCGAAGACAGGCATCCTCGTTGAGTTGTTTTGTTACCTCAAAGTTAATTCGGGCAAGCTGTTTATTTTCCTCTCGGGGTGTCGTTGTAAACCATCCGTTACTTCAACGTCCCGTTCCCGCTTTAAATCCGTTGGCCGACACGGAAATGTGGGCGGCCATGTTTGACATTTTCCGCTTGAGTTATTAAAATGTTTTTATTTGCTCATATAAGCCCAAAAGCTTCGTATATTCAAGAACATTTCGTCATTAAAGTATTACATATATCTAATGTAAGCCTTTTTCAAAACGTTTTTGCTGAATTGTCCGTTTATTCTCGAGCCCTTTCGAAGCGGTGCGATCTTACGTATATCCTTCAAACTTGGCAACACAACAATAAGTAAATGTACGCGTAGTTTCGGTGTGTGACGTTTCTTACCACTGAACTCTGACATTTAGTACAATTTGTGAATTTACAAAAAATGTGATTTAAAAAATGTGATTTATTTTCAACGCATGTCAAGTGGTGTATTGTTTTTATTAAACCTCCCTTGGATTTTTTTCTTGAAAGTGCAGAATGTGTTCTGCTGAAACTCCTGTATTATGTCATCGTGTGACGTTTGTTGTGTAAACGGATAGGCTAGTCCTGTGGGTTGCGACCCCTGTAACATCCACACGTGTTTGATCAGTTTTTCTATTCAGACTGTCTGGCGCAAGTGTCTCCCTGTAAGGAAAATAAAAGCCAGAGGGGAATGGTTGTGTTTGGGAGTGATGTCGTTGATGCCGGGGTACTTTTAGCAGGTAGGACGCTAGCCTGGGTTAGCCAGATGGCTATCTGCATCGTGGTACTGTCAGTTATTGTGTTACACTAATAACACGTTTGGTAACATGTCATACATAATATGCCAGGGAACCACAAAAACCTAAATGCAAGTATATGCACACATGTTGTCTGTCTGCTACCTCAGAGTGTGCGATGTGACGTTGTTTGTTATGTTTTTGTGAAACAGAATGAATGGTCAAAATCCTGCTCCTCCTGTCAGTGATGGTATTACTCCACTCCAGCAGATGGTGGCGTCCTGTTCAGGGGCCATCCTCACATCGCTGTTCGGTGAGAGGCCCAAAACTTTACATCTACTGTGACTGATTATGTTTACCAGTGGAAATGATTCCCCTAAAATACCCACAAAATATTGATTAAGCTCAATATTTGGAACAAAATATGACTGAAAGTTTTTTTTGCTTTCATTTTTATGTAGCACTTTCAGCCACTTGACAGATTGTCCAACATTTATAGGGGAAGATGTCACCATTACACCTCAGTGCCCACAGAAGCTCATGTCGTACTGTTTCTTTCTTTTTCCAGTCACACCTTTAGATGTTGTGAAGATCAGACTGCAAGCCCAGAAAAATCCCTTCCCCAAAGGTACATTCTGCTCACACAGACTCAAGTATTGGACGACGCCATGTATAGCTGATGTTTACTTGTTTTTTTTATTTCAACGCTTCCCAGGCAAATGTTTTGTCTATTGCAATGGACTTATGGACCACATATGTGTGTGTGAGAACGGGAACTCTAAGGCCTGGTACAAAGCCTCAGGTCACTTCACTGGCACTCTGGTGAGTAATCCACTCATCACTGTAGTTAGAGCGGTTGTAGTTCCCAGTCTTGTTTTTGTTTACTGTGCTCCAACAGCTTATTCAGGTCTATACAGAACCATACAGCCCTATTATGGCCGAAACTCTCTCACCGCCCAACATTTCCCCCTCACTGACTTTTCTCTCTACATCTCTGCAGGATGCATTCATCAAGATAGTCCGCCGCGAGGGCACCAAGGCGTTATGGAGCGGCCTGCCTCCAACACTGTGAGTTTCCCCATTATTTTTCAGCCGGTGCCTGAAGCTGTAACCAGTCATATTTTCATTTTTTAGTGGTACAGAATTTTCTTATGAGATTTTTTTTTCTGCCTGTCCCCTCTCCAGCGTGATGGCGGTCCCCGCCACCGTGATTTATTTCACGTCTTACGACCAGCTGTGTGCAGTATTGAGGGTGCGAATGGGAACCAGCGCTGAGCTGGCTCCTCTGCTAGCAGGAGCCATCGCTCGAGGTGAGCCGCCTGCTGCCTGAGAAGACATTCAGCTACGGATATTAGCTATGTGCTTACATTCTTTTTAAATGGTAATAGATACATTTTCTATAAATACTCTGAATGAGGTGTCTTTTGAGTCAAAGTGTATTTTAAACAGTCAGTGTTTAGTGACACCTCATTGATTAATGTACTTTACTCAATTTCTTGACTCATTTTCAAGAGTAAGCTATCAGGACTCTTTTTGCCCCCTAGCCTGAGCTTATTGAAATTTTATCCCACATCAGATTTCATTAAGTATATGAAAGAGAGACTGCTGCCCCTTATCATGATCTCTGATTCTCCCGTTAATAACTGTCTGCAAGCAATGATTAAAAAACAGGGTAAAAAATCCAGCCTTGGTGATTAGTTTAATTAGGGGTCAGGACACATACGCGTTCTAACCTGCCGTGGCTGTGTTGCTCCCTCCGTGTTTCAGTGGGCTCGGCGACAGTGATCAGCCCCCTGGAGCTGATCCGCACTAAGCTGCAGTCTCAGAGACAGTCCTACAGGGAGCTGAGCGACTGCATCCGGTCAGCAGTGGAGACGGAGGGCTGGCTGTCCCTGTGGCGGGGCCTGGGGCCCACGCTGCTCCGAGATGTGCCCTTCTCAGCCATGTACTGGTACAACTATGAGAAAGGGAAGAGCTGGCTGTGTGAATGGCACAACACCAGCGAGCCCACCTTTAGCATCACCTTCGTGTCTGGAGCGCTGTCAGGTTCTGTAAGTTTCTGTCCTCTGACTGCAGCCATTCGGCCTCCAGCCGGTAGACCGGCTTATTCACTGTTTGTTTTGTTTTTTTTCCAGATTGCATCTATTGTTACTTTACCCTTTGATGTTGTCAAAACAAGAAGACAATTGGAGCTTGGAGAACTACAAGCAAAGAACTGTAATTATGCCATTCATTTATTTGATCATATCAATACTTTCAGTCTTGTGAACAAATGTCAGAGATTTTCAGCCAAATACCATGACAGTGACATCTAAGTGAAATCGTGGATATTACTCTAAATGTGGGGATTTTTGAGGAAAACAAAAGAAATTCAAGTACTGCCCTCTTGAAGTTTTAAGTAGTTCAGCTCTAGACCTGTTTGCTTCTTCTCTAAGCTCAGTTTAATTGGTATAAAGTTCTGGGTAGTGTTAAAAGGTCTTTCACACATTTGGGGGCAGCATGACTGTCATGTGGGGCTCATTGGAGTTACCATTCAAGTCCTGAATAAGAAGCAATTCATCTGTGATGCTGTGTTGCTGTAAGGGCCTTTCCAGTTTGACCTAGATGGAGATCACCTTCACCCCTAGTGATAGAAATGTTCTTTGTCATTGGTAAAAAGACTACTTAGGTATTCTTCCTGATGTTTACCTATCTAATAGAAAAATCCAAGCAATTCACTCAGTAAAACCTCATACACTCATCAGGTTCACTTGATACTGTGCAATTCACCTTTCATCAGGCAAGTAGCACAACTGAGTCAACTTTTTTAAAACATACAATTTTTTATTTGCATTCGTCTTCTAGACTTAGAGGCCTGTCCATGCTCCAAAGTCCATCTAATTTTAAAAGACAACAAAAAAAAACAGCTGAACGACGAAAAAAAAAAATCATTCATATCTTTTTAAATGTCTTTTGGTGGGCTTCTGGGGTCTCAGGAGTTGTGACAGATAATCAATAAGAACATATGTGAGCCAGCTCTTACTTTAAATTAGTTAAAGAATGCTGCTCTCCTTCAGTGAAATCCAGATTTTTTAACGACACCATCATCTGTCCAAATCAGCATTGATGTAACTTTTGATTGCAGCTTTGCTTACATGTCCTCCTACAGAATAAGGAAGAAGCTGTACAGTATCTTGAGTTTACTCATCCTTTCAAGCCTCTGTCAATATCTCCATTCTGCCTAGTTAAAGGGTCTAGTTACCTGTACTAAATGAAGACGTTCCAAAAGTGGGTAACATGACATGATAAATCCTGCCGGCACTGACTGACCTTTTTGTTACAAATATTTAGGGCACACTAAAAGGAGAAAATATGAAAAAGCCAGTACGCATCATATCTCACGGTGTTGCTTGGATCCACATGCCCCTCGCATCACATGGGGGGGGGCACACTCCATCTCAATCAGTTCCAAATGCAAACTGGAAAAAAATCAGGATTCGTTCACTAGCCAAGCTACCAAATGTTAAATCTGCTGCCGTCCGTTCTGCTGGCAACACATCATGGTGTGCAACGATTTAATGAGACGGACTGACAATGTTTATCGTAGTAATTTATCATTGCTTTTAACGAGCGGGAAAACCATGTTGGGAGACCAGGGCTTATAAGATTAAATCCTTCAAATCTGACTTTGGCGTGCGGGACAGTTGAGTTTTCCAGCTGAGAATTTGGATTTTCAGCAGCAGGGCTGAGCTTTACCAGACTTTCAGACCAGAAATCATGTCGGGCCTAATGTTATCTGGGTCTTCTCAGTGCCATGTCAGATGTCGTCCTCCACCTTCTGTGTGATGAGCAGGATTGTGGCAGAGGATGGCTTTCGTGGACTGTTTGCTGGTAGGCATTTATCTGGTATTTCATACATTATAGTTATTTATTTGTTAATGGTATCATACGTATGACTCCTCTCCTTTTGTGTTATTCCCAGGTTTCATCCCCAGACTGATCAAAGTGGCTCCTGCTTGTGCCATCATGATCAGCACATATGAGCTTGGAAAAGCCTTTTTTCACAAACGCAACCAGGAGAGGATGCTCATGCCATTGCAGACCAATAACACATAAGCGGGCCACATAATGCCACCAGGGCAACAGATTAGGTTTAATGTTGCCAAATCAAAAAACGGAGGCAGGAACATTCTTTAAAGAACAAATAAATTTACCCTCTTCTGTATTTAAAAACAATAAATGATCAGAAATGTATTTTTAATAGTTTTGTATTATAGTATTTATAATTTCATTTTAAAAAGCTGTGTGATCACTGTCATAGCTTCTGTACCAACATAAAGATTTTTCAGATCATGACTTATTTGTTTCTGACAGCCAGCAGATGGCAGCCAGTTTAGTTTGAATGTGAATCTCCAACATGTGGATGTCTCTCTGGGGTCGTGTGCAATGTGCCTAAAATCCTTAAATGAGAGATTATTTTTAGTTAGTTGACTAAGTGTATCACCCCAAATGTATTACACACAGATTAAAACTATGTGACATTTTTGTTTGTGTGTGACAGGGGCACAGAAAAGCTTCCTGCATGCAGTTCCAATAAAGCTCAAGTATAATTCAATGACTGGATTTGGTTTGACCTACGAGAGCTTCATGAAAATGTGGGTTCTCGTCTGTCCTCCAACAGTTGTACATTTCATCCTTGCGTATGTTAAAAGAAAACAGACGTCTGAAACCCTCAGTGTTAAACCAAGTGGCATTTAATTCAAATAAAGGATTAAAAGGCAAATAAATCCACTACAACATCTGCTGTTTTTCTGTGCAAATGACTGCCAGAGCAAACTGAAGGCAAATATCAAAGGTCAGTGTCGAGGTACATGGCTAGTCACCAATAATGGAAAAATCTACTTCAGACTGAGATTCTAAAACACCCTTCTTGACTTCTCATGATACCTGCCGCATGTAATTTACTGCTAAGTCCAACAAATTTTACTTTAAAGAGTTTAAAGTTGCAGTGTGTGACAACAAATGCCTTAAATACAGGAAAATCATTGTAGTATGGAACAGTTACAATTAACAGAATGAAGATTTCACCAATTTTTCAACTATAGTGCAAAGTGAAAAGGAGAAATAGTTTATTTTGGGATGACTGATCAAACTTTTTTAAATCATTTTTGGTGTAAATCGTTTCTAATTCTATGGCCTTCCCATTTTTGTTTGAATATGCAGCAAATTTTAGACACAAATGATAGGAAACAACCACCATCTTTTGCCACAGTCTGAGCCAAATTACCTTCTGGATGGAGGTGTATAATCCTCTCTGGTTGTGAGCATGTTTCCCAGCAATCATGCAGGTGCCAATTTTTTATTTTCATTGTGCTGATCCAGATTTGTGCACATATGAAGGACATTTGAAAAGTGGAGTGTAATATGTTTATTATTGTACTAAATTAAAAACTGCATGAACATCCTCTAAGGGAGGTGATTCCATAATTCTCATTTGATTGTAAATGCAAAAGATTGCTCAGTTGTTCTCTCTAATTCAACCACTAGATATCAGTAGTTGTTACACACTGCTACTTAAAGGAACGCTCCATTAGTGGGATCCAGACTTTCAAATAAGTGACTGCATTTTAATCATTAAAGGGAACCTACGATTGCAGGATAACCTTACCTGAGAACAAAACCATGTGATAATGCACACTGTGCATCACAGAGAAAACAATGCTGGTGAAAATGATGAACATTTACATCAAATTCAAATACATTTTCTTGGTAAAGAGACAACTGCTAGAAACAATCAACAGTGAGATTGAAGTAGTAACTCTGTTCTGATCCACAGACAGTATTTTAGCGTAAACCTTTAAAACTTTGCAGGACTGAGAGGTGACAGTAGAATGTATATATACAACAGCTTTATATAATTTCACTTCATATTGAAGGTGGGAAAGGAATTATGCAATACAGATAAAAACAACTCAATGGAGCATTTTACAAACACTGAAGAGGTTACATTTCGAGTTCCCCCGTTTCACCTGCATGGTACATCACAAACACATCGTTCAGTCTGATGGATCCTGTCCAGCAACAGCTTGCAAACATGACTCCCATTTCTTTCAGCTCAAAAAGAAAATGGAACATAAGCATCACCTGCTTTGAGAGGTCCTGGATTTTCTGACCCTGTGACGAGCTGTTTGGTGCTCTTCCTCCTCCCCTATGAGGGTGTGAAACCTGGACTGCTGATCTCCGTTGCAGGACTGGCCAAACATTCGCTCGACTTTAGGCTGGCCAAAGACTTATAGCTGGCAACCGAGGTCAGGGAACCACAAAGTCCCCTCAGTGACGGGGTTTCTTCCTTACCTGAAAGGAAAGGTTCACCGGATAAATGTCGGGTGTCGGAGTCCTATTCGTTCTCACTTGTTGGAAGAGACGTGCCTTGATGAGGCCATTGTGTGCCGGCCGGCCTGGCCTCGAGGCCCGGCGTCTGCGATGGTCCGAGAGATGTCTGGGAGAGGCTCATGTCTGCAGACAGCTGCTCCAGACTCTGGAAACTCTTCCTGCCAGAATAAGAATCAGTAAAAACCACACATGCTCAGCACTGGAAAAAAAAAACGGAAATTAAATTAGTAAATAGTAATGAATTGTTCTTGTGATATCATTGACCACCAGTGGGGTTATAGATATGAATGCTCTCATTTTTTTTACATCCTCGTGAGACAGTTCTTCCATGTTTATTAATTCAGTATTGTTGAGCTCAGCGATTAGTTCCTGCTGCCTGGGTTATTTCCTTTGTTAGTTGCTGGAGGATTTCAATCATTAAAGGAGACCTAACTATGCAAGCATGTTTCCCTCCACGCCTGAACAGATTTAATGTATTTGCTTCCCTCGCTGTTCTCACCGACATGTGACTTTATAGTTCCTTTAACAGATTTATGAGGACGCATTTTATACGTCAGCAGTGGATGTTTGATTACAGGGTATTCAATATATATTCTAACAACCCACATACTCCACCCACTGTCCTGTGCTCTTCCTGTACAACAGTGTATCCAAAGCAACAGCATTGGCATCCAAGACATCGGGAGATGGCCACTGATTGGTCAGATGGGCAGTTAACTCTTGTCTGGAACGCAAATCATTGTTCTTCAGCACAGTCCTGAAATCATAAAAGATATTAAATAATTTCTTACAATATGGTCTCCTTTGTTTTGTGTTTCTACTTTAATTCAGATAGTATTTTTCCCATTTGCTTGTATGAATAAATTATCCTTTTGTATAAATCCAAAAGTCCCCTAAAAAATTCAATGTTTGATACCTATTACTTATTTTTGTGTGTGTTGTATTACCTTTTCATCCCTAATACTGGATTTGAACAAAGACTTTCCACCTCACTGTTTTTTATCACCAGCTACTCTCAGTGTTTTGCCTTTTTTTCCTGTATTCATCACTGTGGATTAAAACTGCAGCATCATGATCTAAATCCTCCTGACACAGTGTGAGCTTTGAGACAGTGTTTCCCCCTGATTAGGTCATCGATGGAAAAACAACACTGACGCAGCTTCTCTCGTTGGCTTATAGCAGAACCGGGGGAAATTGATTAAAGAACACACACATAACAATTGCCCTGCAACCTCCAGGCTTCTTGCTGGGTTCTAAACGTCAAATTCGCAGTTGGACATCCTGCAAAACCCCCACCCCACCTAACCGCCAGCAGTCTCACCTGTGCTCACTGTCAGACTCAAACACACACAGGAGAGGGGCTTACAGTTGGTCCTGCAGCTCCAGAATGATGTATTCAAGCTGCTCTTTCTCCAGCGTGTGACAGAGGTGTGCGTCTGCCAAGCTCTGCTGAAGAGACTTGTTATTGGACACAGCCTCCGACAGCTGGGCCTCTCGTAGACGGACCAGTTCTTCCAAGTAACCCTGAGGCAAACAGACACACGCGAGCAAGTAAACACGGCTGTTTGTTTAAAAGCCAGGAAGGTGCCGCTGAATTAATGTGCACCCTGCCAGGGTGTTTTTACCAGGAGCAAACAAAAAGCCACAGAAAGATGGACCTTTTTTCATATCCAGACTGTGTGCGTGTCTGTGTGTGTGGAAAAAAAAGTTTATTCATGAATCTAGCCCTTAGTTATCAGGCTGAATCGACGGAAAATGTCTCATGTGTTTGTAATGCTGTCCTGCGTCTCCATTCCAAAATAAAGACACACCTTCTGCTCCAGGGCCATGCGGTACTTCTGCTCAAAGCGTTTGCACTTGCTGACCAAATTGCTCTGCTCGGTGAAGATTGATGCGGCGGTGGCAGCTTTGTCTGGAGTGCTGCTCTCACTGCCGCTGCTTCCCAGAGTCCTCATCTCCTCCTCATCACTGCTGATGCTGTCGGCGCTGCACAGGGAACCACACAACTCATTTCAATGTGAAACCTGTACCAGCACGGAGAGGTTAACAGGCACATCTGTACCCCTTTAATCAAAATGATGTTAATTACTTTATGTAAATGCAACCACATATCTTATCTGCAACAAATGATTAAAACAAAAAGAGATTTAATTTACCTCTGTGTGAACTTTAGGTAGGGTGTGTAATCAATCACAGCAGGGCAGCTGCCATCCAAACCTTCACCTTTCAGACAGAAGCTGAGAAAAAGGATGGTGGAAAATTAAAGCTAATGATCTGCTATATCTCTATATAAACAGCTGATCTGCCCGACAGGAGTGAGGAGCGAGTTTGTAACAGACAGAACAGAGACCCTTCGTGTTGCCCATCATCTGGGTAACATCTTGTTGTAGACAGAACCATCTGTTTTACAGCCAGATAAGAACCTGCTAAGTACCTGAAGTCAATTGTGTTGAGTCCAATGAGCGTATCTGCCAGCAACCCTGCCTCCTCTCCCAGTATGATGGCTCCCTCATCATAAAACCTCCTGCAACCAACACAAGCACAGAATATCGGCACTGATTCGTTTTAGGAGGAGAGTGCATGTTTTAGCCAGGGCATCATATTGATATAAGCACTGCGTTGAGACCTGGTGGTTTTAATGTCCTTCAGTGCACATGAGATGTAATCAGACAGCCGTTTTTCCATCAGAACGACTCTGATCCATGCCCTGCCCTTCAAAGACAGAGACAAGTCATTAACTCACAACAAATATGCAGTTATCCATCTAAATAGGACACAACTATGAACAAAAACTTTGAATAAAAAGAGGTGAAAGACATGGAATAGAAAACATGTGGAACTGATTTGATTTGTAGGCTGATTATTTGATTATTTACCCTGGGGTGATAAAATTAGTTATTTGATTTGTGTCCTCTTCATGTGTTCTTTGTTCTTTTTCTTAAAGAGTACTGTAAAACAAGCTGACATCATAAATGCCTGATGCTGTATTATGTGTGCTGTATAAGTCAGAATACTTTTATGCTTAAAGCACTACATGTTCTGTATATAACTGCATGCATTTACATGCTCTATCTGTACTTTGTTTTGTTCTTAAGATTAATTTCCCTTTCTAGTCGATGCTTTGCTTGCATTGCTCTCCCTGCTGTGCCAAATATGATCCAAAGATTCTAGTAGCCACACCTTTGCTCTCGACGGTCGCACATTTTCCATGCTCTCAATGCTTCGAATGCAATTATGGGGCACTTTACTGCACGCAGCTTTAATGTAATCCCAGAAACTCCGAGGACTTTCATAGCCAAACCAAGTTGTTTGACCTGACAGGTAAAAGAAGCACAAGCAGATTTGCACTAAAATTATTTCATTGCATTAGTTAATTTATTTGAAAAGGTTATCAAAAACATTTCATTTACCTTGACAGTGCCAATATAACAGATTTATTGCTTATAATAATAGTTAATAATCATATACTGTAGGTAATAATCTGGAACTGACATTTTACTTGTAATCTTCCCCAATCCTCTCTGACTGATGAGTATTTTAAAGATGCATAAAGCAAGTTCTGATACCGACATCGAGTACTGCCATTCAAACTCTCTTAAACACCTGTACAAAAGATGCACACTCATTCCTGATAAAATATCCAAGTATTAGATGTTTCTGTGTTCAGGTGTGTCAATGGTGTAAAGGCACACATAACCACAGTATCGTCTGTTAATTTCCGGCTAGTGATCATTATCACATATCACCACTGTTCGTTCTTTTCTGTTTTTTCCCCTTCTGCTGTTTTCCATAATTCTGCCATGAAATATTAAACAGAGTGAAAATAATCCCCAGCTCTATTCACCCTGCTCATACATATCTAGGATTTGATAAGCAAAATGGTTGAGGAGTATTTTGCTGAGAAAAGCCCCACCAACCTTTCAGTTGATGACTGAGGATGTGCTCCAAGATGGACACAAAATTTGTGAACTCTGGGAATGAGTCATCTATCGTCTCAAAACAAGAGCGGTCCAGCAAAGTCTTCACGGAAAACCTGAAAGTAAAAAAAAAACAGTTCTTTAAACTTCTGATAATTTGCCTGGTGAAACAGCTGGTGTGACTGTAGGCAGAATATTTTTTTTCTGGTTGTCTTTACAATGTGTGGACTGGCTTTATGAGTTAATGAATCACTATCCCATAAAGGCTTCCGTTTATCCAGTTTTTGCAAACACCTTTGTATGTGTCTTTCTTCACCAGTGATTCCCTCATTGGTCCTTGGTCACCTGGAGCTTGTCCTGTCTGTAGTTTATTTAAATAATTGAATAAAAATGAAGCTTTTCCAATACAAATTAAAACTATATCTGTTGTTTAGATTATGAGAATATGTTTATCAATTATAGTATTTCTTCATCGTTGACAGGAAGAAATGGAAAACAAACGGCCCCCTTTGATGCAGTGAATAAATGGTAACATTTAGAATCAGTATTCATTTGGAATAAGTCTGTGAAGCGATCATAGACTTTGCTGCTTTTAAAGTTAAATTATTGCCTCATATGCGTCTTCATGAGAGCACAATGATAATCCAAAGGTAAAGCTTCCAATTATGCATTTCAACCACAAAGTCAAAGAACAAACGACAAGGGTCTAAACACATCGCACATTTCTGTTATCATTGTCAACAAGTGAAATGCCCACCTGACCACAATGTCCATAATGAGTCTTTGATTAACAAGCCATAATGTGCAGCAGACTATGGCAGTCGTGCACAGACCGACTGTTTAATCTGATTTCGGATAATTACACAGGAAGGAAAGTTAATGGACAAGACCACAGTGCCTTGCTGTGACTGTGCGCAATGTGTCCTGACAAAATGTGCGTAGCCCTAAATATCAACTAAATAATCTAACTTAATATCGCACTCTGCTTCTCTTCCTGCCCCTTGTTGCTTAGCAGCGGGAGACCATGGACTGTACGCTCCCTGTGACAAAAGTAAATGACGGATGGGTCTCATGTACAGCACATTCCCTTTCAGACACACTGATGACCCAGCAAAAAAGAGCTGATAATGAAGTTGCCTCTTCCTCCCAGTGAAGGACATACTGCATTCATCTAACCAGCTGCATCTTTCTATTTACAAGTCTCGTCTTATGGACAGGTAATGTGAGAGAGCTTGAAACCTGAAGGCTCAGTTACGTCATCCTTACAGTGAGGAACATTCAACATAATACATTCAACTTATTTAACTTTTTTATCTTTATGAGACACTTTACGCGTTAGTACTGAAATTGTGTTTCTGAAGCCAAGCACACCACTGGCATTTGAGCAGTTAGAGTGGTTTTAGACAACAAGGCTCGTTGGTTTGTTCCATCTTCCAAAAATAGTGAATGATAGATGCTTTCTCGCTCAGGGCCGCGTTTTATGAATGAAAGGAATTAATAGTTACTTGTGACCTTACAACTACAACGACCAGAGCTATGCACATATTAACATCCACACACACTGCGGGTAACACACCAGTTTAAATGTTGGTAAATTTTATACATCAAATGCAACACGAATGCTGTAGAATGTACGAGTCACCATGACCAATCCATAATACACTTACTTATTCTCAGACAGATTACATCATAAAGTCTCTTAAAGGGCACTGCTTCAAGTCACTACTGGTTTGTTTTGCATTTCACTGGCTTGTAAAGGGCAATAAACTGATTTATTTTAAAACATTTAGGTGAGATTCTGTCACAGTTTTCATTCCTTTACATCTTTAGTCATTCATGCTGTGAATGACATTTTTTATTCAGGTGCCTGAAGAAGCTGACATGCCCGTTTGCCGCTCAGGAAGACGGACCACTGTAACATCTGCTTGCATCAAACTCTGGTGTCCATTAGTGCATCAAGTTTGTCAGCGTCAGCAAAGACCAAGTACAGCTGTGCCCAGGGTTGGCTCAGGCAGAGGTCAGGTACATGAAATAAAAACATCTGTGTCGGCGTGCTGTGCATTTAGGTATAAAGGTGCAAAGGTTTCAGCTGATTCAGAGGAAGATCAGAGTCACTCAGCACAGATACATGCACTATTTAATCAGCACATAGTTATAGCCCGACTGTAATTTCACCAAATCACATTCCTAGTAATCATTTACAAGCATTTGACAGGAACAAAATAGCAGGCGGAACTCTGTCACTTCTAATTTTCTTTCTTCATTCCCTTTCCCTTTTTCTTTCTTCTTTTCGACAATTGTACATTTAAGTATATCCATGTTTACTGCATTTCTTTAATGGGGACTTTGTCAGATGGTGCTACAGTTTTAAAAATCAGGATTTTATTGGCGCAAAGCAACAGTCTAGAAATACTCAAGTGAGTACGAGTCGACAAGTAGGCATGGTCTGTTCTGATATGCTACCGTTATAAAGATACGTTCAGTAACTCTGAGCTCTACAGGCAGCACTTCAACCCTCAATTTACATAAAAACACAGCAATGTTTTAACTGCAAACAAAGGCAAACACGTGTGGTTTCAGAAAACCTAAAGCTAAAACACTAGGCTGGTGCCTTCAGTCACAGCTGCTTAATGGTCATCAAGTTACTCTAATTTGAGGCAAGGCAGATGTGAACTGCTGTCTAAATCAGATTGCTACACAGTTTGCTGTTAGGTGGAACAGAAAAGACGCTCTACACAGAACAAGATTAGAAAACAATTGACGTATTGGAAATGACAGGTGTAAAGCTGAAAGTTCCGGCCTCAGTAAAAGTGAGAACAATGCTGCCTCACCTCTTCTCTCATACTCACAATAAGAAGTTATTTATCATGCATGCATACAAATACATAGTTTAAATTAATAAATGCAAGTAATGGTTCCCACCAGCGTAACAAAGAAGAGCAAATTTCAACAGCTAGCTAAAACTCAATGTCAATATGTTCCTCAGCATTCTGAGAGATGACAAATTTCCCAATCGTTCTCACAGTGTCCTCTCTGGTGTTTTCCCTCCCCTGCTCATGATGATGACCGATGACTGATGCAGAGGCAGGACGATCTGGCTAAGGCTCAGCCTGGTCAAGTGAAGTTTATTCTCTTTAAAACCTCTTTTAAGTGACTTTTTTGGAGGAGGACTAAGCGTGAAAATGCCTTCCATTCATACAAGCATTACCAAAAATTATAGAACTAGTATCACTTCATTAACAGTGTGTTTTCTGTATTGTTAATGCTAAAATAAAGACATCTCTGCACTTTCCGTTTATGTTTAGTCAACTGTTTGAAATCCACTACTGCGACTGACATCTGCCAGCAGCACTCAGAGGACCACAGATCAATAGTCAGAGCAGAGTGCTCTCCACATAACAAAGGCAGCATGGAGAACAGGCAGGTGGCACATCTCGCATCTTATTCATAAATGCAGTGGGAAAGGTAACAAGTTCGGTGTTATCTTTGGAAACACTTACCTAAAGGAATATATTAAACAGCTAAATGTTTCTGTTTCCTACATTTGTAGAAGTACAAAAGGACTTTTTGCTGTTAAATACCCTCTTTGACAATGAGAGGAGCTCTAAGAGGAAGAAATATGTATAGAAAAACTGAACCCATAGAAACAGAAATACGGAGTACATGTTTTTTTCTGGTGTGTAGAGGTGGGAATTTGGACGGCATATTCTCTAAAATTCCATCCTTAATCCAATACTGAATATAAAGAGGGTAATTAAAACAGACATGTGATGGCATGAATGTTTAATGAAGGCTTGAGGAGGGTACTGGAGTGTTCAGAAGGATTAGATCATATCTACTGTGCAAATCAGACAAGTCACAATAAAGAATTAAACCTAAGATCCTGCAGCTCAATCTATGCATTTAATCTCATCAAGTGACTTCTTTCAGATTTGTAAAATCATAGGCTGCATTTGAGGATTAGAGATAGAGCAGGCAAAAGTCGTCCTCCGTTTTCCTCTAACCGCAGGTAAAAGCGAGGCTAGATTTCTGAATTTAGAAATCTGGCGTCATGAACCGGCCAGCAGACGCAGCTTCACCCTGCTTTTCATTCAGAAATGAAACGAGAAATCCCCCCACCTGCACACCGTCAGCAGGTTTCTCCTCTCCACCGCGGAGCTCCTGGAGGCTCCGCGCCTGCGGACCAGATGCTGCCCCACGCCGAAAGACGCCATCTGCGGCCGGTGTGAGCGG